ATTTTTTTTCGTCGAATTTTTTCATTCACCTTATTAATTGCGTGTTAAAGAATAAAGTGATCGATATGGTGGAGAGATTATCGCTATCGTTAATGTTTGATGGATTTGGAGGGCTGGAAAGTACTCTATCGATTATTAGATAGGCCTTTATACTTTGAAAATACAACTTAATCTACGGAATCGATAACGGAACACCCTACTACTCGACAAACATTATCGGATACTCCATCGCCTTTAACCTTTCATTGATTTTCTATTCTATTTAAGGCAGGCGTCCGCATTTTTATTTGCTTGTTTACGACGCTTTTAAATGTCACAACTCTTATCGTTGAAGATGGGAGCTTAGAAAAATTCTTTGACACCTGAGGACGATTGCTGGACCGATCAAGGTGCAAACTGTTGCATCATGGAATATAAAATAACTCGTAATTTGACGCAAATGGATGAAAAACATTTTACTTACAGGATTAGCCGGAGGGAGAGATGCATAATTGAAGCTCCGTCAGCTTAATTGCTTAAAAAAGGATGATGAATGGTGCACAAGCCTTAATCAAGGTTTAACTCAGCCGTAAAAAATGATTCATAAGTTCGGGGAATTCCGTCATTTGTTTCATTTGATTGTTTTGAAAAAAAAAAAAACTCGTGAAATTGAAAGATAAGTTTAATTCCGAGGTCTCACACCTTTATTTGTCGAGACGATCGACCTTACGTCGGCCACTTTTTAAGAGCTTCTTAAGAGCGTAGATCACACGCCCCAATTGTTTCCCGAGGGAATGGACTCACTTTCAAAATCGTTTCGGTCGCGATGATTCGTCTTAACTGGGCAGCTTCTCGGATGAGAACTGGTCCATTTGCGTTCAGCAGCGGTGAATGCCGTGCGTTTACAATTCAAGATAAAGATAAGGACGTGCGTACACAAGAAGTGGCAATGGGCTTCGAGGCTAAAGGCACGTTCAAAAATGCGGATCGGAGCAAGGATTTCATTGATACTTGTAATCGGAAAGGAATGCATCGCTGACTTTGGAAGGTCACCAAATGAATTATTTCTTGAAAAAAAAAAAAAAAAAATTACTTCTAAATTCTCTCTCCCGGTTTTTCATCTACGGAAACGATAGGAAACTCGACCTCGTTATAACTCGGTTAATTCGTTCCGTGTTGTATCGATATCGTGTTATGCAAACTTATAAGTATTGCACGTCAGGGAAATACGTTCCGTATCGTATCTAATCTGTGCTCTTCGAGTGCTCTGTTATATCGAAACCGTGTTCTCAGACGGCCGTGCTATACCGAAACCGTGTTAAGCGAAACTTAAGAATATTCCAGCCAGCCCAGCGACGACTAAAAGATGCCTAAAAGATGTCTAAAACGTGACGAATTTTTCGAAAAGTCATCGTTTGGTTATAGCATATCGTCGATAAAAGCGAAATCGAAAAGATGTCCTATGCCCCGGATTTTGTCATCTTTTAAACTTAATTAAAAGATCACGAATCGTGAGATTTTTTAGTGAAGATTAAAGGTGACGAAATTCAGATATTTTTTCTTCGGCTGATTTCGGAGTATAGAGCAGTTTTCGATAATCTTTCCCTTCTTCCCATCACCCCCTCTCCAGGGTGGGACAAGGTTGCCTCTTGTCGTGAACCTGGAGCTTGGGCATTTGAAACGGAGAAGGGGAGTGGCATCACAACTTAACGTAAATACCGGTAACGGGTCCGATATGCGAACGAACTGCTATCTGCCCTACTTGCGAGAAAGCCACGCCAGGGCCATCTATCGATCCCGCCGAAACTGACCGGCAAGGGTGTTTCGTCATCGCGAAAATAACAATAAGTTTATGTTGGAGTATAAAATTTTGGAATAACGTCGTACATGTCATTTGGTTATACACTTTTTTTTATCATATTTGAAAGAACAGCGCATATTTCAATATCATTTACCATACTTTTAGGTTCGGTCCTTTTGTTATGAATTCTTGCAAACACGACCAATCACATTGTAACCGTTACAAAAATTATAGGAACTGTAACCTAAAATTTCCACCTATAGCACAATGTTATTTTAACGTCGCACATTTTTCTCGGGGTCCCAATAATAAGATAAGAACAATATAAATTTGAATTAATAAAGAAAATAAAATAGAACATAATAGCGATCCTTTCGTATCGGAAATTGAACTCATCTTCTGTAAAAACCTTTTAGCTTTAACTTTTAAATTAGTTTTGTACGTAAAACTACGTCTAAACGAAATGGCGCCGATGGTGCCACCTTCTACTTACTTTCTAACATATAATAGGCAGATTTTCACTTCCTCCATTAGGCATTCACCCAGAGACATCTTTCAGTCTGCTATATTTAGTCAAATGTACCATTAGACATTTTTCAGATATCTTCGTCACGTTGAAAAGATGTCTCGAACGATATACTTTTTTGTCATCTTTACGGTAGATGTACTGTCTGGGATATGTTTTAGCTAAAACTGGATGGTGCACAAATTCGTGCCACGTCAAGGTTGTTAGAGTTTATCAAGTCATGCTTTATGGAAATCGTATTATAAAAATATCGCGTTACAGGAGGAACGTTGCAATTTTTGTACCGCGTTACATTGAAACCGTGGTTTTAGACTACCGTGTTATAAGAGGGTTGAGTTTACGTAGACGAGGAAATACTATTCCAAAACATCCCACGGAGCAAACATTTGTAACTGTTGGGAAAGCTTTGAAAGATTTTTCCGACGATCATCCGGTTTTGAAAAGAAACGCCGATCTGGTCCGCGAAACCGTGACAATCGGAATGAATGCCGATTTGAGTAATTGAATTTCGATGAAATCCGAAGCCCGACGGTGTTTCCTTTCCCGGGATTAGCGGGACGATCGATCGATCGATATGGACGCCGATGTCACTTGTCGCTTGGTCTTTAATCTTCGTTCTATTTCGTCGATTTCGTCGATTTATCGGGCGATTTAACGTAGCCGGGTTCAAGTCAGAGCGGGGAAAAGGCGTTGGATCTTTTCGGACAAAAAAACTGCCAGGTTTGGGCTCGAAAGGTAGTTTTGTCACGATCGAGCCAAGCGATTCTCGATCCAAGTGAAAACATTCCGCGTGTTCGACCAACCGACCGTCGGCGTGGTTGCACGAGTATTTCCCGGCGAATGTCGGCCACTCCGATCCTGTTTTATCTACTTTTCTCCTTTATTTCCATTTCCCAAGCCAACTTTTACGCATCCAGTTCAGGTCTTTAAAAGATGCACCCGGAGGAGAGAGTCGCATTTTTTTCGCGCTCGACGCGGGCGCGTTCCGAGATGTCCAGAAAAATGCGGGATCCGCTGTCCACTCGTCCCAGATTTCCTTCTTACCGTTCGCTTACTTTTTGCTACCTTCTACTTGCCCAAGGAGACGTTAATTTTGTAATAGGCGTGACTCGTTTGTCAAAGGAAACCGAATTCCAGGACATCCTTCCGAAGTATCGGCTTTAACCTAGCGAGGCACTTTTAAGGTTTTTCAAATGACCGCACGTCCGCATTCTTTTCGAGAGACGATCGACGGAGGCGCACGCGTCGGGGAACTTTTCGATCGATTCAATTGTTTTCAATGAATTCCGAGCTCTTGGAGCACGACAAACTCGTCATTATTTGCGACGCGAAAAGTTGACACGTTTTCCAGCGGGCAAGGCAACAATTGGTCAAAAGAAGCGGAAAGTAGGCGTAGCGATACCGTTACGTCCTCGGACGTCCCCCCTGTTCCGGACGTCCTAACCTGCCTCATAGTTCACGTGGGAAGGTCGGGAGAATAAAATTGCTCGGTACGCGGTAAGACGCGAAGAACAGGAGGTAATTACGATTTCTGTGTCGCTTACGTAATGGCTCGCGCTTCGCGAAGGACGCAGAAATAATTAATCGCCAGTCGTTGCTTGTCTCGAGTCCGATTACATTTCGTGTACGCGATTCTTCCCGTCCCAAGGACGGGCCGGGGCGATTTATTTCGATTACCTCGACATCGAGGAAGTACTCGGTCGAGATGCGAGGCGAACCTATTTTCTTCGATCCCTCGCGAAAACGAGGTGAAATGAATCTTAATAACTGATTACATTGGGCGGAGAGGAAGGAACGCTAATGGACTCGACTTTGCTTATCGAAGATCGAGGTTACGAAAGCTTCGCGGCTCGGAACCGCGGTTACACGTAAAGCCGGGAATAATGGCTGGAAATGATTATAAATGACGAGTACCGCGTGCCGTTGGTTTAACAGCTTCGGGACCGCTAGGAAGGAGGAAGAAGCGCGGGTCAGCCGCAGGTCCGTGGGATGCGGCTTCGGAGAGGCGCACGTTCATTGACACTGGTCCCGTGTACCCTGTCGCCGATTCATCGGATACTAAACTTTCGAGGAACGCGTCATTGACTGCGCTCGCTTCTCACGTTGCCCTGTTTCATGCTTTACTATACTCCGGCAAACCAGGTCCGGCGCAACGACTACTTCCCTGCGGTTTGCCGGTCGCTGTTTCAAACTTCTTTCCTCAAAATGGAGCACAAATTCCGGTAGCCCGAATAGTACTCGCGTTGGGTGTTCGACGTTAACGTTTTCGAAAATTTCCAAGCTTCGAGGAGAATCCTTTTTCCATTTGTGTTGATGTCGTTTGAAAACGTTTCCGAACTATCCGGTACTTAGCCCAAGGATCGCGCAGTGATTCGTCGATCGCTGTTCCACACTTTTTTTCGATCAAATGAAATGCCCACAAATTCTGACCCCCCGGACTGTTTTCACGTTCCGTGTACTTATCCGGTACTACGTTATTCGAAAGTTCGTAAGATTTGGAAGAATAGCTTCAGTGGAATTTCTTATTGCCTTCGTCCGGATGGTTTAGACGTGATTACCAGGAAATGGGATTATTTGAAATGAAACGGGCAAATATGGGTAGCGGAAGGTTCGCGAGTATTTTGGGGATCCGGCTGTGCGATTTCGAAAATGGAAAATATTGCATATAGAAGTTTAAATGTTGCCGATACTTACAGGCAGAATGCTCGTACGGTCGATCGATCGGGATGTCCTCAACGTTCGCGATTAGGCCTTCGACTATGTTTTCAACGAAATCCCGAACCGTTTCCACCGGGTGCCCCTCTTCTTCACCTCCCGTTGCCACCCCGCGACCTGGGCTAACGTCCTCATACTTGGTTCCTGTATTGGATGAAAATATATTACCTCGTAACGTTCTCCGGTATTTCTGTTTATTTTTAACTTTAGCCACCTCTATTCTGACAAGGACATCGCGATACGCTGTGCGCTTTCTTTTAATTAGCTCGATAATCACATGTAAACGGACGTACGAAGTCAACGTATCAACCGAAATTCGGTTACAAGGAACTTTTTACTTACAGTAAACAAAATACGTTGAAATCGTGACTATTGCTCGCGGAGCATTATAATCTCGTCATCGGTAGTTATCCTCGAAGCAAATAAAACCACTTACTCATCCAACGATCGGCGCTATATCTCCCCTAAACTTGAAATTTCCTCTTCTCCTCCGATAACATTTTAGATCGATACAGTCACGGCTTCGATGGTTTCTTTATATTTCATTTCTCCGAACATTGAACTTCGACACGTAATCGCCCCCTCCCGAAAATTACGAGGGACTACGGACTGTCCAAAAGTTTGCCATTCACTCGTATATTTATCTCAAATGTTCATATCAATTACTTTTATACGATTTGTTTATGGGCTGTTTATGTTTTACCTTCGGTTTAGAGAAAATTATTTTGCCGACCTTTTTATGGAGTTAATTTTCACGTTTCCTAGTCTCGGGGGGACAGAGAATCGGACGTCATTTGACTTTTTTCTTATCAAAGGTTTATGCAGCGTCGTATGTTATCGTTGTATGTGATATCGGGAGCAAATGACAAATAACGAAGCGAGAGGAGAGTCACCGTGGTGCCATGACGTTGCCGGAGAGAGTACTGGAGCAGAACTGAGGTCCGCCACCTCATCCGAAGACAATAAAGGCCGAAGAACGTCCCGCTAAGCCGGGAACCCAAGACTCCTGTTCGCGGTAGAATTCTTTAACGAATTCAAGAGGCACCGCAAAAAAAAAATCAAGAAAAATAATTGGCTTTGGAGGGTAAATTCCTGAGGGTAACTTTAATAAATTGTAACGTAGGGGAAAATTGCCTAATTTGGACCAATGCGATAAAACGTAATATAGAGGGTCTAGGACCATCTAGCCGACAGTAAAAATATTATTACATATATCGTGCATTGTTTAGTAACCTCTACAGTTTGCTTATAAAATATTCCTGAAACGTCCAGTTTTTTTACATTTTTCCGATTTTATTTGTCAAGCTCGGGATACACAGATTCCGGAGGGTTCTGGCTTACAATTTTTTAGGAGGAGGGAGGAAAGCCCAGGAAAAAAGTTTAACGACGTTTCTTGAGAGCTCTCCACGAGTGCCGACAGGGACGTCCTAGTCATTGGAGATGAAACAATGACTCCTCTCTTCTTCTTTGGCACTTCGAATTTCTTTCCATCATTGTTCACTCAGGGTGAAAAGTACGTGACTCAGTCTAGCAGAGCGCAGCATCTAAGTTAACATATTTTTGTTGAAGGTTTCTAAATTATTCAGTCCCGGAGTTTATCCAACACTCCGAGGGTAGTTTTGCTATCTGAATTATAAGTCAATTTCATTTACTAATCCGTTTGTGTTCCGGGCACTACGGTGCGACGGATCTCGCGCCAACTTTAACGAAAACTCCCGCGAGTATTTTCGTGTAACAATGAACGTTTATTTGCGTATATGGAACAGTGAACTATGCGACAATGTTTGTATATTACGATCAGAGCGAATGAGTTCGCGTTGAATATAATGGCTAGTCGCGTCGGGGCCGGAGAAAGTTCTTTTTTTGTAGAATGAACAAATTCTGTCTTGGCGAAGAAAATCTCAGTATAAGGAGACCTCGGAGAAAGTTTTGAAAGGGCGAAATTTTGGAAGGATCTCCGAGGATAGATTGAGAGAAAAAACGGGCAGCATTTTGCAATGCAGCCGATTCGGGGCAAAGGAACGTAGAAAGGGAAGTTAATGCAGCCAAGGAGGCGTAGGTGGGGATTGCAAAATGGATTCCTGGAGAAGTACTTCCGAGAAGGAACTCGGAATTGGACCAAAGGAATATGGTGATAAATTGCCTCTTATCGAATACGTGCCGAAATTTAGAAAACGAGGCTTAAGCGCTAAAGAAATAAATTGTTCTTCTCGGAAGGTTTGGAAACTTTTGCGACTTAACGATTTCCATGTGAGTCGAGAGCGACGGAAGGGCGTCCGTAAAGATGAGACCTCTGAAACATCGAAAAGGGGAGACGAGCGCCTTGGCTACGGGGGGTTCTATGGCGAAGAGGTTACGATGGCGCGAAGGGTCGCGCGGTATCGTTGGCGTAGTCGACTTCATTTCTTTAGTAATCTAAATCTAATTCTAAATTAACGCTATGACATTGGATCGATCGAGGACGATCCTGTAAAGATCTTTTTTAACCTACCGTGCGTATCTCTTTTTGTGCTATCCGCAATGTCTAATAAGTTGATACCGTATAGTGATTAAATGTACTTTAACTTATTCCTAAAAGTTCTTTAGAAGTGCACTTCGGCAGGAACGATTCGGATTTCACAAAATCATTCATCGTTTGAAAACTTAGCCCGAATGATCGTTGGAAGTTTCAATGATGCCGCTTGACTGTCATTTCCGGTACGTCACATTTTGTTAGGGCATTGCGAAAGGTGTGCGTTTCAAGATCTGCACCTCGCAGGCGGGTGCACGACCCGTTAAATCACACGGTGCAAACGGTGGGATAATTTCCACGCAATGGAGAGGAAAGAGGTGATATGCAGCTTCAGGAAATGAATTCATCCTTTCCCATTTGTCATGGGTAATTCCCTCTGTGACGTAAAAAAAACTTTCTTCTTTTCGCTTTTCTTCTAAAGACAAGCGATCTCCAAAGGCGACCATTAATTGAAGGCTGTCCAACTTTTATATTATTTTACCCATCTCTTGATATATGGCAGAATTGTACTCTACTAAAATGCTGTGAGAGTTTATCACAATATCACGGCATAATAAATTATGCTACTTCCTGTGGCTTGAGAAGTCTTTTTAAGCTTTTCCTTAATTGCTCTTGCCGATATGTTAATGTTTGAAATCGTGGAGGATTTGGCGATTTCACGATATAAACGACTACAGCTGGACCTCTGATCCATGTCAAAGGGGTTGAAAGAAAAATGTTCGGTAGGATGCGGTCTGAACATGTTTGGACCAGGTATGGAGTACCGATCCGCTCTTGTGGTTAGTAGGTGAGATGTTGACTACGTCGACCATCGTAAGTAGAAAGTGTACCCAAGTGAAAACAGCAGCAGACGTACATAAACTTGACGTGCAAGCCCCTCTTAAGTACTTTAACGATTCGGGATTTACCGAAACCTCAAATTTTCATTATTCTCTCCTTATTTTGTGTCCACTTAATGTCCAATGACTTGCTCTCGTATTTACAAATATATTTTAATTATATCTCATTTTTACGGCGCGTTTAAAGCTATGGGTCGCGTTTCGTTGGTGGACCGTTATTAATATATTAATTATCTTTTCTTTAAATGTCATAATTTTTATACACATATATTGGGTTATCGTAAATCCGATATAATTAAGAGGAAGAATTGTCGCTGTGTCGTAGTTTATGAGAGAATAAGAAATGTTGAAATTGGAATCATTATTGCCTAGTCATCGAAAGAGAAACTCCATGATTATAAGTACTTGAGCACGGAAATATTACTTCCTGTCGAGGAATTAGTGAAGCAAACGAGAGTTATTAACTGGCAACTGGTAAAATGTTCTTAGCAGGAGCACACAGGAGAGTTTCTAAAGACCGACAATTGGAGGATCGGTTTTCCTAGACATCCGGACGATTTAGGTAACCAAACGGTAATGTCATCTTAAATTGTACGCTTCCTTAGTTGTTTCTTTACAATTTTTGTTCCTAAACGTGAAAAACAATACACAAGAATGTAATCATTATCCTATACTCCGTGTTCAGGCATTATTAACATGCACATTGTATAACTTGCGGTTAACCGTTTTGATACAGTTTATTTCTCAGAGTGGCTGTATAAAAACAATGGATATTAAAAGACGGAAGAAGGTAACTTGACTTTTATATCTCTCCTGTTCAGCTTACAAATTCTTTATCCCGTAATAAACCTTTTGTAGTTGTCCACGCCGACTATAAAATGCATGTTTGGAGTCGCTGCATGGAGTGCAATAAAAATATTACGTTTCAATCGAATTCGTAGATAAAGATCCTCCTTTGGCGCGCATATAGGGGAGACCGGGGCAGTGACTAATTTTTTCGGTAATGCTTAATCGTGAGGAAGATAATGAGAATTTGCGGACATATTATACCCCGAAACGTACGGCATGCATTCGGGTGCAATAATTGCTGTCCAAAATTCTTTAACCTTTTGCAAATAATGAAAGAAAAGATTATTTATGCCCGCCGGCGCGGTTGGTCAACTCGCCCTGGATACGGGGGTATTACGGGAAAATTATGCACCGTAGGAAAAAATAGTACAGGACTTTCCGACTCCTTTTTCAAGAAGAATAGCGACGTATAAGCCGTGCCCACCATTTCTGTCACACTCTGTATATTAGTTCTGCTTGGAATACGTGCATACCTTTAAAGTTGGGTACGAAGAAGTTCACACGATTTAAAACTACTGCAAACAGTACAAGCTTTATATTCCTCGCGTAGGTGCATTCTTTGGCCACGGGATTGCCGCCATGGTTGCAGAATTCCACCTGCAAATCAATTCCGTCTCTCATGGCGAACAATTGACCATAACGTGGTTCCCCGATCGATTCGAACCCCATTGTCCCTGGAATCACCGGAGGGTCAATACTTCCCCAGGGATTTCTTCCCGAGATCGCGGACACTTCGGAATGCAAGCGCGGCCCTCTTGAGTTTCAGTAAAGAAACTATTTGCAGTCCTGCACACGGACTCGAATTGAATTCCACGGCCAATTTCGAGCGGATTTATTTTACAGTACACACGTCGTGGTCAATGGACTCCCCTTAAGGTCTCCTTAAGTTCTCTTAAGTCGGAATATGCTCGGAGCGCAGTTTATTTATCCGACAAAAGTGCACTTACGGGCGCTTTTTATGAACAAACGCGTAACCGTAACGTATTTATTTCTGTTTCCGATACCCGCAGAAAAATATTATTGTAACCATTAAATATGATCGCGTCTAAAATAATTGCTGTAACCATAACAACAATTAATGTAGCTGTAAATACAAATTTTGTTTCTTTCTTAGTTAACGCGGTTGGGGCAGTAACTGCAGAATTCTTGTAAATAAATTGTGGTTATATCTTTCGATCGTCTTTCAAAGTGACATATATCATATTGGAACGTAAGATCTGCGCGCGTAAAGGCACACGTAAGAATGAATACCGCAGCTGTAACATTTAAAAGTCGGAATAACGTTGTGCCTATAGTTGGCAATGTTAGGTTATCCTTGGTATAATTTTAGTGATAGTTACAAAGTTATTTCGTACGACTGCAAGATACATTCAAATTTGGGATGCATACTTCAGAGATGTCGTACCGTCGATTTATGAAAGAAACGAGAAATGATTTTTCGATGCGAAGAACGCTGTTTCGTAGATATTCATATCATGTAGACCATGTTTTTCTCTTTCGCTTTCATAACGTAGCCTTGGGTATCGTTGAACAACAAAACCCTTGTCAACGCGTGTCTTCGAGTATAGGGTAATACGCGTACATGGGAAAGGAAAAGAATGTAAAGAAAATCATCGGTGCAGTATACGTGCATTCTCTCGATATGTCGTGTGGTTAAATTACGCTCGTATCGGGTAGGTCAAACGTTGGCTGAAAGGCGAAATGTCCTAAGTCGTTGAAACAGAGATAGAGTAAAAGTCACATTACCGTGACGCTTCGACCGAAAGTGGACTTTACAATGGGATAATAATTTCGATACACTTTTGTCGGACCGTTTCTGACGTACTATTGTACGTCGCGCACAAGTTTGCAAGACACGTGTAATAAAGTCGCAATCACGAACCTGTAACGTAAACTTGCGATTTGGCCGTGCTAGGAATTTGGCGAGGCTCGTCGATAACACCTGCACCGTCGAGTGTTCCCAACAACCTTTGGTTTTTGCTTAACCACACCCTGGAAACAAAAAAGGTGGTATTTACATTAGAATAAAATGAAAATATAGGCCCAAATTCGGGGTATCTGTTTTTGAAATATTTTTCCGCACGTTGCGGATATGAAATATTCTTTTTCCTTCCTACTGATTGGGAAATAGGCAGGGAAAAGATCGTTCGACTCTTCTTATTCTGTAACACGAGAATTGGCCACAAATTCTTCGTATTAAATTGACCGCATTATTATGGACTAAGGTGGATAATTTATGCTATTTTCCGATTCTTTCCATACAAATCTTTCATATGCTTTCGCAAGTTTCTGCCATTTTCCTAATGAATTGTTTAAAATTCCTCGTGTTTAAAAAGAACGATCGGCATTTGCATATAACGGTCACAATTATTGGCCCTAAGCATGCGTCATTATTTGTATCCTGAATGTTTTGCACATCACATAACTTACAATTAGTTTCGACCCAGAATTCGATTTTGGTGATAATCCAACGCAAAATATTTGAAGGGTGCAGTAATTTATTTTCGATATGACTTGAAAAAATGGAGATTCCCAGCCAGTGTACCATACGCGCGCACGATAAGATGGACGCTACAGGAAAATCACCTTGAGGTGTTAGGTGGGATTTTGAGTACTCCGAGGGCACGATAGCTCGGCGAATGCGAAGCCGTCTTTTCTGTTTGAAGAAGAAACTGTGCTAATCGTGTTGCACCTGTGAACTTTAACACTCGTGTGTTAACAATTGCATTACTATATTTTTGTACGGTTCCGGAAGTTGTTACAATCTCTCTAGTATTCAAGTGCGTTCATGCATATTGGAACTTTCAGGTAAAAAAGGCTTTTGCATTGTCAACATCGCTTTGTTTTTTTCTCCATGTCACAGTTTGTGAAATCGAGGTACCACCCAGACACGGCACAAAGTACAATATCCGCACATTATCCGTATAAATTAGGTCAATAGGTATAGTAAACGTATGTCGTCCATCTCCTCCTAAAAAAATGTATTTTGTAAATATATAGATCTATTTTATGTACACCGCTGCACAATGTATGTCATAGATATGCAAACGACGTATACAAATATCTATGTTTCTTATAGATGAAAATGATATATTCTCTTTTGATCTACAAATATTTACTTGTTTTTTGACTCATACAAAATGTTTATGACGCACGGGAGATGAGTGAATGTAATTGGTACGCAATGTACGAAGGAAGTTATTTTGAAAATGTGAGTTGTTTCGGTATAGTCGTGTTTGGTGACTTATAATTATAGAAAAATGGTAGTAACCTTCGTTGGTGACAAAAAAGGCAGCGCCAGTTGTTCGACGAGTCCCTACGCGAACAAGCCTTCCGACAGGATCTAAGGCCGCAATCGTTGCACTCGATGCCTTGGCCGATTAGAAATGGTTTCAGACAACAGGTGCACTGGCTCTTGTCCAAGATGTCCTTTTTCACTTTCCGATTCGAAGTCGTCTCTCTTCTGAAAACATCGGTTTCAAAGTTCGAATGACAAGTTAGCTTCCTGGTATTTTATTAAGTATCGAAGGAGAAAAATTGTATGGAAAAGTCATATGCGGTAACACGTAATAAGTACGATGAAACGTGACATCAAATTTGGGGTAGACCCTGGTTTCATAATCGTTCATTATTTTACATCGTTTATTTTATAAAATTCTTACATGGCTCGTTTTGCATCTGCACTACAGAACTCATATGTGCGTTCATTTTATTTCCTATAACAACGTACCGTTCATCCCGACACAGCAACCGTAGAATTTTTCGACGTATTTACATTTGATAAAATTCAAGTAATTACTTAATTTTCATTTACGTAAACCGGATACTCTATAACGAGAATTACCTATTATATCCTATATCACATGTTTCTATATCGTTCAAGTATCGCTTTTGTATCGGGAGCACTTTCAATTATTTATAATTCTGCAGTATTTGTTTCTTAAGCACTCTCCAACTAGATGTATTGGAATACATTACCCGCTCTTCGCATTAATTCATGCGTATGGAGTATCGTTCAGTTTTTTGACAAGTTTTTTACGTACCGAGACGAATTCGTCGCATTTTGATCTTCCGATGTCATTGGTCTTCCCGGTCAAAAAATATCGCAGTTGATCTTGGACCAGGAAGATTTGAATCGTCTCTCTCGGAATCCGAGGCCACGACTTTCATCACAACAACTTCTATAGTGATCAAGAGAAAGAGCAACATGAAAGTGGCCATGTTGTACCTTTCTTGACCACTGAAGTTCCGGTCACCCTCCATCAAAAGTGTCGATATCCAGGTGGAGATGGGCAGCATCTTTTTGGAATCTCTCGGCACTTCGCAATCCGCGCTTACCTTTATCTATATTTATTGAACTTCAATCGTCCGAACGTACGTCTCCTTCAATTCATGACTTTTCATTCAAATTGATTTCTTCATCCCCGACTTCATTCTATTCGGAAATGAAAAATTGTTATTCTTGCCTATCTTAATGCATCTACAAGATAGAAGATTCAAACTTTCACTCTTTTCTCTTAACGAAATGCTTTACACGCCACGTAGGAGCTGTCGAAGAGAAGTTGCTCGATGACTCTTTCTCCGTTAACCGGGTACACAGAAATTCACTTCTTCAAACCGATTCAGAATAGATCGGTACTTTTGAGCCGATGGGAGAATCTTCCCGAAGGCGAGGTTCAACTTGGAGCTCTCTTCGCGGGGGCTCGCCGTGGTCGAACAGCCAATGGATGTACACACCTCGAACAATGGGCGAGCAATGAAATTTCCTCTTCCCGCATTATCCGACATCACGGACCTTGACACATTGCCACTACGCGGCAGGGTCCACCCGAATACCTCGAATACGAGACCGCGTTCCGGTTCCTTTATAAAGCTACAACGATTCGTTTCCAAAATCGACGGACGAATCTCAAAAGTTGGACATTATTTTAAACGGTTTCCTTGACTGGAAAGGTGTCCTCGGAGTTTCTTGCAAACGCTTTCCCATGCGTTTTTCTCTCAACACCTTGCCGCAAATCGCATCGTTCACTTTCCATCGGCCGACCCACTTTCGATGCACCGTCCGAGCACGAATCCGAAGACTAAGAAATGCTTACACGGTCGAATTTCCTGCTAAACTGGCTTCGGCTTAAATTTCAATTTTTCTTTTTCAAGCGGCCTGAGGTCTTCCAAATGGCCAGGTGGTCAATCGTGCTTCTCGTTGGAAATAACGAGGGAGAATCGTTACAACTTGCACTTCGTATCCCCGCAATTTGGTTGCGAATTTCGTGAGAGTAGGATGTTTCCGTACACTTATTTTTCAGACCGTTCTCGTTCCTTGGGTACAATTCTTCTTTACTAGATTCTTCTTAAAGACGTCACTTTTGGGGCATTGGCTCCGTTTCGTTACCGCAAACGTCCGAAGGCAGGGTGCATCGGTCACTCCGAGTATTTGGCAGTTCGCTTTCGTCCGCGGAGCATCCTCGCACGGTCTACGAAATTTGCCCGTTGCTTATTTCAACGTCCAACTCCACTTTTTCCGCTCCATTTTGGGATATGTTCCCAAACCGAGTTCCTAAAATGCAACAATTAATGTTCCGTCGTCTTGAAAAGTTAAACAGAGATCTATACTAAATTTGTACTCGATTGTCACCTCTTGAAGCGGTATTCCGGCCAAAGGAGTCGAGCACTTTCCGTTTCACCCCCGGGACTGGACCAGACGCTGCGCTCGCCCCGCTAATTTTCAAATGAGTCCGATTCCCTCGACGTAATTATCCGGTATTTGGGTTCTTCCGAAAGCGGAGGTCCCCGGGAACGTGCCTTTGCCACGATCGATGCGATCGGCGCCGGGTCGATGTCGCTGCGACAGCGGGAACGTTGTTTTGTGCCGGACTGCCGGGACGAAAGTGACAGTGTTCGGACGGAGGGAAACTTGGCGGTCTTCCGAGGTAGGAGTTGCTCTAGCGCGGAACATTAAGTCGGTGGCTTATGTCATGAACCAGATACCGGCTGAGAGCCGCTGAGAGCCGCTGAGAGCCGCTGAGAGCCGCTGAGAGCCGCTGGGAGCGATTTAATGGAAACTTTCCCTGGATTCGGCCCGGTCCTCTCTATCGTCGAAACACCCGACGCGAGTCGCCATTGGCCCGCTCGGCAGAGAGATCGACGCGTGACTGCCAAGACCCTGTCATTTTCTTTTTTTCCTTTTATCGATTCGCCAAGCGCGGATCGAAAGTCCCACGTGCCGACGTGATGTAACGAGTCTTTTGTGATCCACTTCAAGGCTTCCTGGCATATGATTCCGCTTCGTGCATTCTTTACGCCGACTCGCAATTTAGCGGATGCGGGCGGCTTTCTTTTCCTCACTTTTCAAATTAGTGTTTATTCATTTTGCCTTCACTTTTTGGGGGCGATCAGCGCGAAGTTTCGGAAGTTAATGCGGTGCTCGGGATTTTTAAATCGCCTTCGGATTTCCCGTTCGATGATAAAGTTCGATGCATTCGGTTAAGGGAATTGCTAGAAAGTTTGAGAATGCGTTTTGCTCGAGGTCGATGCTCTTATGGGGGTTGTCGCTGTGTTGATTTTCTCAAGATAGTTTTATTTGTGTTTATTGTATATTACCTAGTTAATTCGTTAACCGAATGTTTTGAATTAACCTGCCATTAAAAAAAATAATTATGACCTAACGCTTCGGATACAACGTCAACTTAGGACTCGTGTCGAGTCGCGCTTCGCACTTAAGGGTGAAAAATAGCCTTCGAAGGTTATGCTCGATGGCTCCTTCCCCTTATAACGTCGCTATCGTTGTGGTTGCAGCTTAAAAAAACGAAGATAGTATCAGGAAGCGATCGGTACGGAAATTTGGTGGAGTCCGAAGACTCGTTTTTATTATCATAGGTTTTCCTTCGGGGAGAACAAGGAACTTTCTTTTTTTAAATCGTTAACGAATGCGCATCAAGTTTTCCAGATGCTTCTCTTGTAGCTTCAGAACTTGGAAACTTATGGTTAAATTGTTGAATGTAAATGGAGAGTCCCGTTGATTTATGCTATTCAAGAAGGTCTTTGAGGTCCACTTAAGATTTCTGCCCAATCATGCATTTTTATGTATTCATTCGCGAATGTAGTACCTGCTAAAATGTACACGTTGTATGTGTAATGGATTAATTAGAGGTTATGCGGAGAACGACATGCTTCGATGCGCTCATGTTTAAGCGAACCTCCTTTCTTATGACTTAGTCGAAATACAATCCGTATTGCCTAATTTTGCTTACAATGGTTCTTTCTTTTTTTAGGACTCCCGAATAAGGCATATCCGGATGACGCACTATACGTGCGTGGATTTCTTTAATTTTAAACCAAACTGCTCGATCGATTGATTTCATTTCTTTTACGAGAAAGATAAAATGTCTTGTAATTTAGTGAACTATTTTATATAGAGGCACATCGCTACATTAATTAGTTTCATTCCGTACAATCAGGGAAATAGTTGCAAAAATGTATGGTTCCATCCCTGTGATATACGTTTAATGTGTATCAATTTTATATATGTTTGGGGTTAATTTATAAATTAAGAATGCATACATTATATCCACGCTACATGCATACTTATCGTGTTTCGATACAAGTCTTGTTTGAGCAACGTATTTTTGTTTCTTATATTCATATATGCGATTCAATATATCGTGAATCAATATTTCAGTGACATCCAAAATATATCGCATACGTATTATACATATAATATCCTGACGTATGTTCAACCTCACCGTTTATCCTGAATCCTTCTGCAGAGGAGCGTTCGCAGAAGGATAGTCTTGATGAACTTTTTTACTTCACTCGATTTCATGAATGACTCTTAAACAAACACTGTTCGGTTTAAAAACATTCCTCAAGATGATTACTTGCGCGTCGCAAATTTTTAACCAATCTTTTTCGGAATTTATTTTCTGTTTCGATTCAAAGCAGGAGAATTTCGATGAACTTCTTCACTTAACCGATAAATATTTTTTAAGCAATTTTTGAACGAATACATGGACCATAAAATATTTCTTAAGGTCGCAAAATCTCGAGTTAAGTTAATCTTTTGCTTTTATTTTATCAACGGACATTAGTGGAATATTTTGCTCCGATTAGATTTTATGCGTTCTCTTTTTTTTTAGTAGGTAAAAAATAATTTGGCACGTCCAAGAGGTTTTCGTAACAAGTGACCAACCGGCGCAACAACCGCTTCGACAATGAGCGGTGTTCGGCGTGGATGAATCCCCTGCCTCTGCGGATCCTACACTTCCGGTCCCCTTCGTGCCCCTTTGGTTACCTTTGTTTAATATGGTTTGATGTCGGCCGTTGTGCAATGGCGGTTTTCCGTTAACGACTTCGAGGGCCCGCGACGCATCCTAATTCACCGAGTTATTGAACTCCGACTGAGCAGCACGCATGAGTAAACCGTACGCACTTCCGGTTCGTCTTCGCCAACCTCCGTAACGAGATCGCAGCGAGGTCTCGTGAAAGGCAATGTGCCGTCCTTTGGCAGATTTATACCCCGATAAACCTTCATTTTCAGGGAATATCTTGAAATCTAAGAATTTATCTCCTCCCGAGTGTGTACTTATATTTAATTAAAATGCCGAAGATGCGGTAAACAACTTAAAATTTGACTATGCTTTTTCCGTAGCTTCGAAGCAATGTTCGCGCATACCGATACCACGTATAGGAAATTGACCATATTCATAATTTGAGCTGCACGCAGATTCAAGTCCCAAGATTAAGCTTTACCCTGTAATTTTGGGAGTAGTTTTAATATCTCAACGTTCGTTTGCGTATTCGTTTAGAGAAATGTCCGCGAAGAAATGGCTAATTGGTCAATTTTTCAGGGGGCAACCCCATTTGTAAGGCACGGGAGAAATCCGTAACTTAGATTCTGGGAGAACGTGATCTCCCATTGTCGTGTCTTCCCACATAGCGTTCTGCAGCGTGGCCACGGCGATTTTCTGATTTCTCGAGAAATAAAATCGTTTCCCTAATGTGAGTTATCCTGGAAGCTCAGACAATGCTCACCATCCGGACATTTAATGGGACGATTAGAATCACGGCCAGAGGTGCTCGGACCGACTAGCAGTACCGTGAGAACCTGAATAATTAGCCCACTTCTGAGGCTTTAAAGTATTTGCTCACCGTTCCGTTTTGAAGAAGAAGAGCTTGAATAACCGTTGAGAAACCTTTGCAGAAACCCGATAAAGGAGGGGTGCATGGTTTATAGATTTACTTGGATATAAAAATGTAGAAATTGATCAAAGTATTGACGCACCTTTGTATTTATTAATCGTTCACGATTCTTTATATCGTTATCGGATGCGATTCTTCGCATTTGAAATTGGAATGCAATTTTCCTAAAACTTGTCATCGACGGGTTTTAACGTCTCATCGTGCGTTGTTAGGAAGACTTTACGACTTACGGTAAGTTAAAATTAACACGTAAACAATAAATTACAGTTACTAAATATTCATTAGCAATTATTAGAAGATGCAATTAGCCGGCAAAATCGAGGGAGTGGCCGATCGTAAACATACGGTTGGTCACAAATTATATGAAATACATAAATTGACGAAGAAAATTGTTACGCGTAACAAGATTCGTATCATCGCCATTCCAAGGAACGGACAAATGGACGAAAATGTATTTACTTAAAGTTAATAGAGGTAGTTTAATCTTCGTCACTTATTTCAATTATTTCGTAGATATGCCCCCCGTTGATATAATATCTGGACTTGACAGGTATATATCATCCGTGTAAAATCTTGTAGCTTTGTAACGTGGAGTCTCCCGAGTGGAAGTTTTCTTACCTATAAAGTGTACTTGTTTCCATAATGACGAGGGACATTTTCTAGGTAGTTGATTTGCAAAGCGAGGTTTTCCGCTATTTGTGCATTCTCAGTTGCTCGCTAAGTAATGGCGTTACGAAGAAGTCATACCGGTACCGGATATATCCTTCGAGTCTTTTTGTCAATTATAATTAAGTTTCTGACTATAGGAATGTATTTATCTAGTTTATCCTTCCGTTACTTTGCAGTAATTTTCCGTCTATTTACAATTAGTTTCGTATCATTTCTAATTCCTTACAATAGTAAAACTTAAGGGAAGTTCGTTAAACCGAATAGAAAATAACGAAATTAACTTTTCTTTGAAAAATGGGCAAGACGTAAAGATGTAGGGGAGCGATGGAGTCAATGAGAATTTCTGCTTGACTTTTAATTGTACGGTTAAAAAAATAATATGAGACTTACGTTTACGAATCCGATACTGTAAATTCGCTCGCATCAATTGAATGTCTTGATACGATATAGAGCACTATACGATATTAAGGCATTCAAGTTGTTCGCATTCTGGAGATGTCTCACATTATTCATTCTTGAGCCACCATCGGGCTGGAAATGCATGAATAATTCCTAGGATCTAACCGGGGAGAAATCATCGGCAATTACACGGTTTACAAGTGCCCCGATCAAGGATCGATACTGGACGATGCTTTGCCGTTTAAATCAAGAGAGATCGGCGAAATATCGCTCTTTGATATGTACAACATGCCAATGGAATAAAGATGATAGATCAGTTCGATGCTTATTGAATGTAATTTTAACGAGGTTGAAATACTTCTCTTGTTAGTGGAGGAAATTCTTAGATTTCTTCGCAAATATATTTGCATAACAAAGTCTCGAAAATGTAAAGAAGCTCGTATTTGCTCGCGCGAAAATAAATGCAGGGGATATGGCTCGGAAAGCTGCATGATTCTTACCACAAATTCGGGTCAGTTTGGACAAGTTGCAAGTTCGATATAGGATCCGCTATCTTTTTAGATAGATCGTCTTGCAAAATTAAACTTATTCGAGTATATGTATTGTTACTTTTCTGAAATATATTCCTACCTGAGAAAAGCGTAGGTAATGGTTAATCTGGAATGTACAAAATGTAGAAAATAAAAAATAGATTTTTATACGAGCTTTGTCATGGTTAATTTGTATTCCATATTGCGTGAATGTCATTCGCGAAGTCAGATCCGCTTTACGAATCGA